AGACCCCTGAGGAACACTGCTTGACACTGGTAACTTTTTCCATTTGATATCACAATACTAGAGGTGTAGAAGTACTCTTAATTCTACCTAGACGTGGGTTTAACAACCTCTGTGATTCACATAAAGAATACCTTCGTTGCAGACGGCAGAAAAAAAATATACTCGAAACATGCATTCCTATTACACACCAGCAGAAATTTATCACTTGCATGAAAAACATCCTGAAGTCTCAACTAAAGGCTTTTTTTCTGTTTTTCACAACACCACAAAGGAAATTAAAGTGCTTACCATCTGGTGGAAGCTGGGTAGCAAATTCAGCTGGTAAAGTTAAGAGAGCATAATCTTTCAGTGCAGCTAACCAGAGACGGCTAAGGGCAGGCAGTTCAGGTTGTACAAGTGTTATCAAACTGTCTGGTGGCAACTCATCTACAGTACCAAAATCATCCTCATCCTCCTCTGTGCTCTTCAAAACACGCTTCGGTTTGGTCTCTGCTTCCTTCTTAATTTTCATGGCAACAACATACACCTAGAAGAAAAACAGATACTAAAGGATGTGCTGAGGGATCCTAAAAAGAAAAAAGCAGCAGCCTTTCCCACGTGAAAGTAGCCATACATAGATGACTCACAGGAAAATGACTGGGATTTCTTTAAATACCTTTTCTTTCATTTCTACCAGTATATAACACTTAGGGCCACAAATGGCATTTTCCTAAAACAATCTAGCTGCACACTTTTTTCCTTAAAGTGTCAATTACTGCTGCTCTAAACAGACATACTGATTTAAAGAACTAATTTCACTAAGTCAATGCATCCTCACCGCAAAAACATCTTTACCTACATTAAGAGCTACTAGATAAATTAGAGTAATTGTCACATTCTGAGAGCAGATTAGGTAACACAAAGACGTGAAAATGGCCTTAAACATGTTCCATGAATACAAGAACATTTATGTTTGTCTTCGACAGTTGCTATGAGAGGATAAAAGGATTTTCAAAAGCTTAAATATGGGAATAAATGGAAATATCAGAAAAATACAGAAAAATAAGCATTTTTAGAAAAGAAATAAAGTGTCTTCGCACAACAGATGCTCCATATCAAAGCTGAAAATTACAGTATGGAGTGATTAACATTACACAGCTGAAATGTTAATATTTTCCTTTGTAATTTCAAAAGTAACTTGCAAGAAAATTTAATGAAAAACACCCACCAAATCTTCAAGTACTACACTAAGAGACACCAAAATACTCTTTATGTAATTATATGTAAAGCATGCATACAGTATGGAAGCAAGGCAATATAAGTAGTGCTCACTCTGTCTTCTGTAAATGGTCGGAGATTTCTGGTATTCCAGCCATTTCCCAGTAATATCTACATTTACTCTGTAATTATTATGAACATTCTGACAAACTCCTATTTAATTAACTGCCATATTTTTCCAGAGTATATTTTAAGGTTGTTTGGTTTTTGTTTGAAGTTTAAGAGCAATAAGATGGGAGAAAAACCAAAATCTCATAGAGTACATGTATATACTTTAATATAGAAAAGCCAAGACTCATTGTAAATATGAATAAAGAGAATGGCAGAAAAAGGAACAGAGTAAGATACAGACATGAAAACATTCCAGGAAAGGAATTGCAACAGGTAAGGAGCAGGGCAGGTGCAGGGCTGAACAACAAGGTGTGAGGCTGCTATCACACTGCACAACATTTTAAAACTTTTAAGGCCTTAATGGTCAACGCTTACCTCAGCCCATGCTTTCAGCACTGCAAGCTTTTCCATAGTAGTCGCACTCTCTCGGTAAAGCTGGCTAGAAGATCCCTTTCCTGCTTGCACTTTATCCAGGGAAGAGACAAGAAGGTTGTGAACGCGGCGGAGATCATTCAGGTCACTTACAACCCCGCTTCCTATCCAAGCGCTACATACCTAAACAACAAAGTTTAGAATCATTCTAAACTAGCAAAAAAAGCCCAACAACCTTACGAATGAAAAAAAAAAGTCTAAGAAAACAAAAGCCAAAACAACCACCATAAAAAAACTTAGCAGCTCTCTTCCTGCTTAATATAAAAAACTCCAGGGTTTTCCTTTTTCATTCTCCACCCATGATAACAAAACTGCTTGAGTGAAGGGTTACAAAAGCTGTATTTGCAAGGCATATTATAATGGAACTTCAAAGATACATGGAAAATATTTAGAATAGTTTTTTAATCCTCTGTAAGTAACTAATAACCATCTTTTTATTCTATTCCCAAGTGTCCGGTTAAACCATTCAGGTAATGGGTCACTACGTTCACTGTGAAGAATAGATCAGACAGCAATCAATACAAGCCTATCTTTTCAGGTTTTACAAACTCCTTTTTCATAACATTTTTTCCCTATCTCCAATTTATTTATTTTGCTTTTAGCAAATCAGTTCCATGAAAGCTTTTGAGGAAGGGCTTCTCATGATCTGTTAGCATGAGACATACTTAAAGTAAAGTAAACATAAACAGAAAAAGTGTTCTGAAGGTGCACAGGATAAGGCTGCTGAAAAATTTGTCACAAATTGATAATTCATGCACGACAGGACTAAGACCA